CACACGATTAGGTCAATGTGAGCTTTTTAGATTGGAAAAATTCTCTGAGGATCATGAAGCAGATAATCAGTTCTCCAAGAAGCCATCCAAGACCTTGATGTTCTTTGATGGTTGTCCCAGGCGGTTGGGTTGCACAGTAAGAATCCCAATCCCTTTTTCCATTTACCATATAATATATATATCCAATTTGATTTTAATTTCATGTTTTAATCAACTTTTTATTTTTGTAGATCTTGCTAAAAGGCTCGTGTCGTGAAGATTTAAAGAAAGTCAAACATGTTATTCAGTATGCTGTCTTTGCTGCTTATCATTTGTCACTGGAAACTTCTTTCTTGGCCGATGAGGGTGCTAGTTTACCTAAAAAGACAGTAAGGTCAAATCTTGAAATTACGGATTCGCCCAGATCTGAGGGAGTTGATGTGGCTGTTGAGTGTCAAAGTCAAGCCTCATGTCAGATGAAGGATGGAAGTGTGATTACACAGTGTGATGATCCGTTAGACTGTTCTTTAACAGTTAGTGTGGAAGAAAATGAAGTGGAAAAGGGTGAAAGTCTTGAAGTAATTGATGCCTCAAATGAATACTATTCAGCAACTGACAACAATCAAAGCATATTAGTATCGTTTTCTAGCCGATGCGTGTTAAATGGTAACATATGTGAACGATCAAGACTCTTGCGTATAAAATTCTATGGCTGCTTCGATAAACCACTTGGGAGGTACCTCCAAGATGATCTTTTTGATCAGGTAAAACTTAATTCTATATAAATTTGTCATCTTTCTTGCATAATTTCATAAAAAGATTGAATCTTTACCTTTCTTTTGATTTGGGTTTTTTTCTAATTTCATAAAAAGATTGAATCTTTAATTTTTTTTTATTTGGGTTTTTACTAGTTTCATAAAAAGGTTAAATCTTTACCTTTCTTTTGATTTGGGTTTTTTGTTCAGACATCAAATTGTAGATCATGCAACGAAACAGCAGAAGCCCATGTGGTATGCTACACTCACCAACAGGGGAATCTAACAATTAATGTTAGACGACTTCCGTCCCTGAAGCTACCAGGTGAAAAGGATGGAAAGATATGGATGTGGCACAGGTGTCTGAGGTGTGCCCATGTGGACGGGGTCCCACCTGCAACTCATAGAGTGATCATGTCTGATGCTGCATGGGGTCTCTCTTTTGGAAAGTTTTTGGAACTTAGTTTTTCAAATCATGCAACTGCTAATCGTGTTGCGGGATGTGGTCATTCTCTTCAACGAGATTGCCTACGTTTCTATGGGTATTTCCGTAATTCTAACACAACATTTTTGTATCTGCACAATTTATAATTATTTTAACTTTTATTATTTTCCCTACAACAGCTTGGGGAGTATGGTGGTGTTTTTCCGCTACTCTCCAATTGATATTCTTTCTGTACGGTTGCCACCATCTGTACTACAGTTTACTGGTCATGTTCAACAAGATTGGTTAAAGAAAGAAGTATCAGAGGTGCTTATAAAGATCTGAATCTTACAATTTATTGAATATTTGAAATTATTCTCTTATATTCTGATTTGTTTTTTTTTTTCTGGGTGTTAGCTTTTGAGCAAGGCGAAAGCTTTGTATAATGAGATATCTGAAGTATTACATCGGGCCGAAGGAAATGAGGCTTCAGATTCAAGTGAGTTGAGTAAACATGTGGAGGAGTTGAAAGATTTGCTAATTAAAGAAAGAGATGTTTACATGGTAAGTATCTTGAAACCTTGAATCTTGAAGTAAAAATGTATGATTTGTATCGGTTTTTGGGACTCATTTGTGTTTGTTTTATAAATTAGGATCTGCTTCAACCTTCTGGTGATGAGAGTGTGGCTGAAATAGACGTTTTTGAGCTTAACCGATTGAGACATTCTCTCACGATTGGTCTACATGTTTGGGATCGAAGGCTCTCCTCTCTAAAGGGTTCTAATTCCAAAGATGCTGTTGAGGTCAAACACAGGAGAAGTTATTCAACTTTTGCAGGAAGTGTTGACCGAATCAATGACTCAGAGTACAATCAAATCGAATCCAATGAAGAAACCGATGACTCGGAATCCTTTCTGTCTGACAAAATCGATTCTGCATGGACAGGACCCTTGAGAGCTTCATTTGATGTTTCACCAATCGATGGACATGAACATGAAAGAAGAAACAAACCTGCAAATCCACATTTCAGAAGGCTAATTTCATCTCCTGCTAGGGTTTACTCCTTCGATTCTGCAATGTCCCTTCAAGAACAAATCCAAAAAGAACTTCCACCCTCTCTGTCTTTTCAAGATGCCAAACATTATAAAGACCCAATCCGCAACATACACAGGAGTTACTCTCAAGTTTTCCCCAATGAAGATCAAAAGTTGGAGTTTCTATGGAGGAACAAACCGATGTTCATTTCACCACCATCTTTTCTCCCAGAAGGTGCCCATTTAATGCTTCCTTATGGCACCCAAAACTCAGTGATTACAGTATATGACAACGAGCCCACAAGCATCATATCATACGCCCTTGCTTCAAAGGAATACGAAGAATGGTTCATAGATAAACCGTATCTCAATAGAAATCATTCTGTTTCCGTTTCCAAGCTTTCAGGCTGGCAATCCTTCGGATCTGTTGATCTTGACTACATCCAATACTCAAACTACAAATCAGAAGACCTTTCAACAGGAATCGGATCGTTGTTTTCCGATTCCAAAAGCTCCCATCATTTAACGATTCCGTTCGAGGACGAAAAGGTGAAATTCTCAGTGACTTGTTACTTTGCGAAACAATTCGATTCCTTAAGGAAAAAATGTTGCCCTAGCGAACTCGATTACATGCGTTCTTTAAGCCGATGCAAGAGGTGGAGCGCACAAGGCGGGAAAAGCAACGTGTATTTCGCAAAATCATTAGACGAACGGTTTATCATAAAACAAGTGACGAAAACCGAACTGGAATCGTTCGAGGAATTCGCTCCACAATACTTCAAATACTTGACGGATTCCTTAAACTCCGGGAGCCCTATTTGTCTTGCTAAAATCGTGGGGATTTATCAGGTGACTGTAAAGCATTTGAGAAGTGGGAATGGGAAGGAAGTGAAGATGCATGTAATGGTGATGGAGAATTTGTTCTTTAAGAAACGTATTTCTAGGGTTTATGATCTGAAAGGGTCAGCGAGGTCTCGTTATAATTCGGAAACCGGAGCAAACAAAACACTTCTCGATATGAATTTGTTGGAGGCATTACGAACGAACCCCATTTTTCTCGGAAGCAAAGCTAAACGGAACCTGGAAAGAGCGGTTTGGAACGACACGTCATTCTTAGCGGTATGTATATGAATTTTCACTTTACTACCCTCGAAAATGATTTAAATTTTAAAATTTTATTTATCTATTTTTTATTTTATTTTGTGCAGTCAATTGACGTGATGGATTATTCGTTGCTGGTTGGAGTTGATGAAGAGAGTAAAGAATTGGTTTTGGGGATAATTGATTTCATGCGACAATACACGTGGGACAAACAGCTTGAAACGTGGGTAAAGGCGTCGGGAATTCTGGGTGGGCCCAAAAACGCTTCACCAACCATAATTTCTCCAAAACAATACAAGAGAAGGTTCCGGAAGGCAATGACGAGTTATTTTCTCACAGTACCTGATCAATGGTCATCGTAATTGTGAAGAAGATTATGAAGGATTGGTTAATTTGGGGTTGTTCTTGATGTATTTTTGGGGTGAAATTCACCCTTTGATATGTTCTTTTGTATAAAAATTTGGGCAGGGGTTCTTGATTTTTTTACGAAAGAACTTGTACATGTGAGGCTTCTGCTTGGAAATTATATTCCACGTGAATTATTGGTGTATTAGATGTGCCCTTTATTAAATGAAAATTCTGGTTACTTTATCTTATTCTTATGGTTCACTTAAATGCACAAGTACAAGTCCTCAATGCACAACAGCTGTTCGGATTTTGGTTTCTTTAGCGTATGGGTCACACAAATGGTCCTTTTTTTTTTCAGATCTCTTTTGAATGTTAATGCAAAAGTTACAAGTCTGAATGACAGCACATGAAACGAGGCTTCTGCCTGAAAAAGATAGTATGCATGCCCGTTTGTGTGGTTAAGTATTAATGCACAAGGTACAAGTCATTAATAAGAGCACGTGGAAACAGGCCTTTTTATGAGTGTACACTTTTTTTTATATATGTACCTTTTGCTTGTATAATTAGTATTGTGTGATATACAAGTTATTATTACATGAAAGCATTAAAATGATTGTACCCGCTTGGTTGTACTGTTATTATTTATATAATATAAAAGTTATTATTGCACAATATCACATGATAAAAAGCTTTTCTGCCTTGAAATTTCCTTCACATGAAAGGCAGGCTCCACTCAAATGTCAATGGTCCTGATTAAATGGTGCTTAAATGATGAACCACTTTTTAAGTTTAGCTTCATTCGGTCAACGAGAGAGAAAGAGCAATTTCGAAACCACTCGAAGCTTTTGACAACACTTTTAGTAATGAACCACTTTCTTTACTGTGTGCCAAAAGAAGTTGTATGACGTGCTTTGTGTTCTAATTTGGGTTAAATACAATAACATATTTCAATTTATTTGTTTATTATAGCATCCTATTTGTTTTTTTACGATCAATTTTGAAAAAAAAAAATACTCGATTATAGCAATAATATCCAAAAGAACAAGACAAGTTTCCATTGAAATAATTAAGTACATTTTTCAAGATACTATGCCCTAATAACAAAAAAAAATCAAAGTATAATATTATATTGGATAGATTTTTCAAAGTGCATACATGTCTTAATAAGAAAAGCTGAAAATACAATGTTGTAACAAAAAGAAATAAAAGTATGACACCTTATAAACAAATAAACTTTTACAACTGTTGAGAGAAATTTGATAAATTTTATAACCCTCAACTAATTCTAATCAATACTAATAGTACCCAGTAAAAAAATATACATTCCCCCCCCCCCCCCCCCCCCCCCCCCCCCCCAAAACCTAGTACAAAACCTGTATTTTTTTTTTAACAGAAAGGACAATGAAGTAGTTACTTTCCAAAAGAAAATGAGTATGGAGTTGATAATCAAGCAAATACTGTAGAAGTTGAAGCTACACAAGCATTAGAAGGAATTAAGGAATTTGTGTTAATGTTCTTGATTTTGTCCCTTCTGAGTGAATTCGGGTCAACTCCAGCCTTATGAGCTGCAACTACTCCTATAGCTTCCCAATAGTTTGACACCTTCACCTTCAAAAACAAATATAGATTACATTTATATGACATAGTCAATGCATTATTTTGACTTAAAGAAACCTATATCATGTGTAAAGATCATTGTCTTGTTTCAACATACCACATCAATTCCAAATTTATCAGGAGTGTCATTCAGCACAGTTTCATTCTCTTGCACACAAATAATCAGAGGCTGCAGCAGCATAATCATCCATATTACATACAGAATTCAGAAGAGTAACAAAAATAAAATGAAATTGTCATAAAAAAAAAAAAATTTGACCTTGTTTTTTTTATTTGCAAATGCAAGAACACCATCTCCTCCACATGCATCTGCTGGAAGAATGACACTATCAACATCACTTCCCACTATACAACTACAACCATTTCTTTGAGACTCATACTCATTAGTCAAGTACTGTGGTGCATTAGATAAGCCAGCAAGCACACATGGCAAGAATGTATATCCCAACTGTTTCCAAAATCATATCAAAACCCTTTTAGATGTATGTATGATTATATGAATGTGTATATATATACAAGTATCAACTCACTTCTTCAGCAGCAGATTTTGGACATAAGGACTTGGTGAGTGGAGGAGGTAATAGGGCAGGAGCATGTGCACAAGGGATCTTGAAATTCTTCACAACCAGATGGCTTATAATGGCTTCCACTCCTGCTAGTAGATCGATTCCCTGCTTATAAAACATAATTTAGATACAAATATTTAATTTAGGCATGTTCATGTGAAACAATTGTATGTTAATATCTTAATAATAATATTACCTTTCCTTGCCTATAATCATCCACATCTTCAATGTCATCATCTGGAAAACGAGCCACAACAGCAACAGCATTTATAGATCGATCACACAATGTTTCTACTGCTCTTAATAAGGAATCAGGATGTTTTATCCTCCCTGTTGCCTGTCCGTTCTTCAGATTGATCCACTTTTCCACCTGCAAGTTCTTAAACTTAAGATATATCCATAGAAACTTGATTCGTATTCAACTAAAAAGTGAAAATTTCTCACCTCTAGAGGTGTGTCAGTGACAATGTACTCAAGAACTGGTAAACCAAGTGATGCTCTTGTTGCATCTGCCACTTGAAGATGACGAATGCGTAGCTGTTCCTCAATTCCTGCATCAAGAACCAATCCCACCTGATTACACGAACAAAATCATGACAATGTAACCATATATTATGTAATGGTGTGTGTATTAACTCCATGGATGAAATAAATCGATAGTTTTGTAGGAAACCTTGTTCTGGTGAACAGGCTGTAGTGTCCATAAGCCTTCTGCAAATCTATCTAGGGCATAACCTTCTACGTACATGACATTTGGCATTGGCCAGTAGAGCATTGCTGCATTAAGAACCTGTGAATGTTCAATTGTTACAGAAAATCTAGGGTTTGGAGGGAAGGGATAACTTAAATTCTAGCTGCTGTGAACAGAATCATCACACCACAACATTATCACAATTTAAAAAGGAAACACAGAGATGCAGACAACATACGTTGGGATGAGAAATGACACAGTCGGCTACTGAAGCAAGGGTTCGAGCAACAGGTAAAGCATCACCGGCGTAACCTCCAATCGAAGCACCAACTCCTGTTGGCACAATCAAAACGCTAGTGTATAGTCTCTTCCACTGCAACAAAACACAATATCTGAATATCTATCACAAACGCAAACGAAAATTCACACACATACTACGACCTCATATAAGAGGAAAGAGTGAGTATCCGGCGAAAGCTTCGACATACCTTGTTCGACAAATAAGAATTCGAACACGAGACTCGATATCGTCTGTGTTTTAAAATGTTACGTTCGTCGAAACGGATGGGGAGTTTCCCGCCAGCGGTGTTGAAGAACAGAGGAGTGTGGTTCTGAAGTAACATTATCGCCGGCCTGAGAAGATTCCGACGAGCCAGAGGATAGCGCAGGACTAAATTTAGGATTAGGGTAAGTTACACTTTGAATGCTCGTACTTTAACTTGAGAACATTTCAATCCTTCATAATCTCATATCTATCTTTCCTACCCTGGTATTACACACCACATTTGCACATTATCTTTGTTATGATGCGAATATTTCACTTTATTAAACTATATTTAACATCAAAGTTCAAACATGTGGTTTTCTCTATGAATTTGTTTCCTAGTAACTAATATTATGCAACACTATATCAATATTTTGGCATCTCATTCAACGTGATTTATCAAACACTTCAATTAGTGTTGCATAATATTAGTTACTAGGAAACAAATTCATAGAAAACCACATGTTTGAACTTTGATGTTAAATATAGTTTAATAATCTAATAAATTTAGAAAAATTCCAACCTAGTTATATAAAATCAACTTTATCACGTTCTTATATCTAAACACGCTCAACACAATCAGAGAAAGAAAGAGTTAACCCACATGTAATAAATTTTTTTTTACCAAACAAACAAAATCCCCTAAAGAGCAACAAATAAAATCACAATCAGTAGTCAATGTGAGGTTCTTTCAAGATCCACGTGAATTCCCTCTTGGAAGGATCCACGTGAATTCCCTCTTCGCTAACCACGTGACCCAAGAATTTGACTCTTCGAATCCAAAATTCGCATTTAGAGAACATTTCAATCCTTCATAATCTCATAATCTCATATCTATCTTTCCAGTCAAAGGCCACGCCCTTCTGGGTCAATGTTGTAAGCGGTTTCGAAATCCGAGAGCAGTTGTGAATGAACCTGCGATAGTAGCCAACGAGGCCTAGAAATTGACGAATTTATGTAGGCGTCTTCGGAGCTGACCAGTTCTCAATGGCCTTTATCTTGGAAGGATCCACGTGAATTCCCTCTTCGCTAACCACGTGACCCAAGAATTTGACTCTTCGAATCCAAAATTCGCATTTAGAGAACATTTCAATCCTTCATAATCTCAAAATTCGCAGGACTAAATTTAGGATTAGGGTAAGTTACACTTTGAATGCTCGTACTTTAACTTGAGAACATTTCAATCCTTCATAATCTCATATCTATCTTTCCTACCCTGGTATTACACACCACATTTGCACATTATCTTTGTTATGATGCGAATATTTCACTTTATTAAACTATATTTAACATCAAAGTTCAAACATGTGGTTTTCTCTATGAATTTGTTTCCTAGTAACTAATATTATGCAACACTATATCAATATTTTGGCATCTCATTCAACGTGATTTATCAAACACTTCAATTAGTGTTGCATAATATTAGTTACTAGGAAACAAATTCATAGAAAACCACATGTTTGAACTTTGATGTTAAATATAGTTTAATAATCTAATAAATTTAGAAAAATTCCAACCTAGTTATATAAAATCAACTTTATCACGTTCTTATATCTAAACACGCTCAACACAATCAGAGAAAGAAAGAGTTAACCCACATGTAATAAAATTTTTTTTACCAAACAAACAAAATCCCCTAAAGAGCAACAAATAAAATCACAATCAGTAGTCAATGTGAGGTTCTTTCAAGATCCACCATAGACTGTTAACATCTAAAAGACTAAACTTCATGTCAAATTAGACACAAGAACCACTTGTTTTTCACAAGAGTAAACTTGGCAACAAAAGATCCACCAACAACATCCACAAGACCACAACTACATTAAATCAAACTTCTTTCACACAAATACTTTCTAAAAGGTCTAATCTTTTTTCCCACTTTTGCCCCTCACATGACTGAACAACTGCTTGTATTCTCATCACTCAACATGTTGACACCACCACCACCACCATTGGTATTAGTGTAGTAGTAGCCATGAGGGGACTCACTGTAAGTGTAAGGGGCAGGATTGTAATTATAGTAGTAATAACCGGTGGTTGGTGGCATCATAGGTGACCTCTGATACATTGCTTGCCTGTTTTGCATGTTCATCATCATTGATGCAGCAGCAGCAGAGGAGTTGTACTCTTGCTGCTGCTGGTTGTACCCTAGCCCAAGCCCAGGCCCAGGCCCATTCATGTTAAAGTTCATCATCTGTTGACCACCGGTAGCCATTGCAAATCCACCGTTCTCAGGCGTTTCAAACCCTCCACCACCACCAACAAGATTGTTCATTATGGAGCTCAACTCATTTACCTTTTTGCCCTCATTCAAATTCTCGAAATTGCCTTTTTGCCCTCCCACATTGACCTGAACTTTCTTGCCACTTCCATTGTTGGGTTGAGTTTTAGCTTTGGAATTCCTCGCATTATTGGCAGAATTTGCAGTTGATTCTTGCTGTTTTTGTTGTTGTTTCTGATTCTGCCTCAAAACCCCCAATTGATTTGTTTTCCCTTTCAGAAACCTCAAATCCTCGTCATCTTCAAATGGATCATCATCTTCTCCGGAGGTCAAAGGCTGAAGCTTTGACTGTTTTTTCAAGGATTCAAGGCTTTTGGTGAAATCGTCTTTCTGGGTTTTGTTTTTCTTGTCATCTTTCATGTTAGAGCCCTTCTGATTTTGCTGATTTTGATTTTGACTTTGACTTTGACTTTGGTTGTTGTTTGACCAAATTTCGGCATGTTTACCAGCTTTCACAAGCTTCTTTATCAAAGTTGCTGAATCTACACTTCCTGAAATAGTCACCTTCTGCTGCTCTGCATCTATGCTCACTTGATACACACCTGCAACATTTACAGCCAATATTATACTGATTTGTACCTCGTGCATCAGAATTTGTACAAAAAAAGCCATATCTGAAAATCTCAAATCCAAAAAACTGCATTCATAACTTGTACATCATGCAATAGAGATTTACGTTCCTATGAATTTAGGAGCTCTGGTTCTGAGAAAAAAAAAAGTATAAGCAAATGTTACAAGATTTCTGTAAATTTCAATCTTTATCAGAATCCCACCACGTAAAACATTAGAACAATGTAATTCCTTTTCCCATAGCTGAAATACCCAAACTCTAAGCAAATGTGCAATAATCAATTGTACATTTTGTACTGAAAGTTGTGTATTTCTCTCGATTTACAGATTTAAGCTCTGAAGAAGGGTTTTGCCATAGATTATATCACTAGAGCACCACATTTTGCATAAATTTTGAAACTTCACGAAAACCCATATCAAAATTTGCTAATTTATCACTAAAAACACAAATCTCAAGACTCAAGTGGAAGAGAGAGGAGCCACCTTCAATTCTCTGAAGGATTTTCTTCACTTTGTGCTTGCAACCCTCACAATGCAAGTTCACTCTCAGAATGCATGTCTGTTGAAACCAAAACAAAAATCAAAAATCAAAATATAGAAGGCATAAAGAACAAGAACATGAAGAAGTAAAAAACAAATTATAAAAGAAAAAAGAAAATGAGGTGGGCCTGAATCTTGAGGAGCTTGAAGTCTTCATCTTTAGTCATCTCTTGAGTGAAGCTTTGGATACTGCAGACTAGCAGAAAGAAGGATACAAGAAGGCTAATGTAATGTAGCAGCAGCAGTCACTGAAAAGAGGGGTAAAAGTGGTAATTAAGAAAAAGTAAAATATGTACCTTTTTTTTCAATACAAATAAATACACATCACATAAACCTTAAGCTTTCTTGGAATATGAGAAAAGAGAAATTAATTTGTTAATTGCCAAAAGAGACCCTTTCTGTGTTTCTTGAGTTATGAACTACTCAGAAGTACTTTAAAAGAATCAAAAGAAATAAGGCACTTGTGGTTTATTTAGTTAACTACGTTTTCCAAAGCATTAATTCTTTAACTTGTGGGAAACATTTTGATTTATTTAATATTTTGGTACTCAAAAATTGGTAAGTTTCGAGACATGACAAGGGTTTATGTCCAAAATAAAGTTATATATTTGTTCCCATTTCGAATCGAGCTTCGACCATATTTGAAAATTAGGGTTAATAGATTAATAATTAAGTGAATATAAAGCCTAAAATCAGTGGTTTAACATGATGTTATACTTCAAAAACATCATAATTTGTCTACAGAACCAAAAAGTTATGTCATGTGACACTAGAAAGTAGCCAGGCCTACCTATATATTCCCAAAAGAATGCACACATATGCTCTGATGAAGTAATGCCTATGTACTTTTAGTTAATTTTCGAAAAAGAAATCAATTGATAATTCTTATAAAAGTGTAAAATATCATTAGAATATTAGATTATATCAAGTGTTGACTAAAAAGATTTTAAGTTATAACCATTAAGATGATATAATATAAGTCAAACAATTGGCATGGTAGATAACTCCATATTGGTTTCTACTAAAAAACACGTCCCTTTTGCTTTTTGTTTTTGAATGTTGGAATGGTTAGATCTCATAACGTTTGCAACTTTATGAATCTTCAAGTCAAGGTGACCTAGTAGTGTCTTGGATATGGTCTTTAATCAAGTTTTGATGCCATGCATAGAGATTAGGTTATAAATCCTCATTTTGACCCAATATGGGTTCAAGACATACATTTGACATTTATATCTAAAAAGCACCAACATTTGGGATGGTTTTGGTGTTAGAATCACTTATGGAAAGGATGGATTTCGGAATTTAAGGATTAAGTGCTTCTTGGTTAAGCCCTTGCATTTTTAAGCTTTAGGGATTGGGTGTTGGACCTTTTTGGATAGTCCCAATGGATAAAGTCGGAAACTTTATCCTTATGGATCACATTTCGGACTAGATCTGAGCTTTGGAGCTCTTGGAATCAAGGAAAACGACTTAACGTATTAAGTTGTTGGATCTTCGGCAAACACGGCGTGTTTCTAAGTCAACATGGCGTGTTGATCGGGATTTTCCCGACTGTTTGGGTACAGACGGAACACGGCGTGTTTCGAAGTCAACACGGCGTGTTGGGTCAACATGGACTGTTGACCTTGATCGTTGACTTTGACCAAGTTGGACTTTGAGGGTATTTTGGGATTTTGATGGAATTGGTCACTTGGTGTAAACAGGTATCGGTTTGAGAGCTGAGATTCGGAGTCGGTCCTCATCAGTTATGTTTAGTCTGCGAGGTGAGT